CCAGGGCCGCGAGCAAGCAGGCGTCGTCAGTCAGGGCGGGCCGCCGCAGTGGCGCCCTGAGCCCGCGTGGTGGCCGCGCCGAAGGCTTCGCGGACAGCGCTTTGCTTCCTCTGACTGTGCGTCACTGCAAGCAGAGGCTCTTTTGCTTCTTAGGCCCCTTGTCTTGGCGGCTGGTACTGGGGATTGAGGCCTGCGCCTTGTGCTAGGCAAGGCTGGCTTAAACTCCATCCTCCTGCCTCAGCGTCCTGAGTAGCAGGGACCGTAGGTGTGCCCCACAATACCCGGCTTGTGCCTTTTGAGTGCTTTCTCTGTATCTAGTGAGAATTCCATACGACTTTTGCCTTTTATCCCGCTGATGTGGTGACACTGATTTTTTTTCCACGGATGTAGTCAACCTTGCCTTCCTCGAAATGAACCTACTTGATTACGATGTTAAAATGGCAATCCGGCCCCCACCCCCAGTGCTGTTTTCGGAAGTCAGAGGCCTTGGAGTGTGAAGGATTCCTGTTCCCCGCCTGTGTGGGGCCGTGAGCACCTCTGTCATTGGAGCCTGGGATTTTGGCAGAGGGTCCCCAGATGACTGCGCCCCGTGTTACCGGAGCGGGCGCCGGTGTGGGTCAGGGCAGTGGCCTCTTGGCTCCCTCTGGACTCTGCCCGCGCTGATTTTTAGTCTCCTGCCATGGGGAGTCTGTGGATGCCCCTAGCACATCCCTGAAGCCAGATGTGGCCTCGGGCTCCAGAACAGATGTATGTATTGGCTTTAACTCTGGATTTCACCTCCGTCATTCTTCACACATGGTCGAGAGGGAGATTTACTTTCTTGTAAAGACTGTCGAATTGGCTGACAAAGTTAAATTAGCTTCATGAAGTAAATCTGGGCACGGTGGCGTACACTGGGACTCCAGCACTTGAGGCTGAGGCAGGAGGACAGCCTTGAGTTGAAGGCCAGTCTGAACACACGCTGGGGGCCCTGTCTCCAAAAACGGGAAAAAATTTTAGTGAAGTGTACCGCTTCTCTTTCTGTCCTCTGGAGGGCACTGCAGAAGATAGGTACTATATTATTTTTCCATTAAATATTTGGAAGAATTCCCTGATGGACCCAGGCACACCTGGACCTTTCTTGTGAGTGAAAATTTAAAATAAAACCACTCAAGATTTTCTCCTTCCTTAGTAAGGTTTGGATAGGTGTGTTTTGGACAGTTTCCCCATTCTGTATAAACGCGCAAACGTGGCTGGTGTGAAGCCTGGTTCCATGCCTTGTATCTCAAAACCCACAGCATGGCTTCCTCCTGCCTAACCCTGGGTTTCTGTTCTACAGGGCTGGGGATCAACCCCAGGGCCTCTTATGTGCCCAGCCAGTGCCCTATCACGCAGATGCCCCTCCAGCCCCTTTCCTGAGATGTTCTATTTCTTTTTTCTTGATTAGTTTTGATGTGTTTATCAATTTTATTAACTTTTTTTTAAAAAACACAGTGTTTGGCTTTTCACTGTTTTCTATTTTACTTATGTTTGGTCTTGTTTCCCTCCTTTTGCTTTCTTTCAGTTTCACTTACTCCGTTTCAAGATGGAAACTTGAGTCTGACCCTTTCACACCTGCTTCCTTCTCTTTTCTCTGTGTTTTTATTTTTGTGGTGCTAAAGATGGAATTCAGGGTGTCACTCATGCTAGGGAGGTCCTTACCACTGAGCTATCCCATCAACCTCGACTTTCCTCTTCTCTAGTATTTGTGGTGGGTGTTTTGTTTCAAGACAGTGTCTTGCTATGAAGTTGAATCACTGTGTAGCCCAGGCTGGCCTAAGACTCACAGAAACCCTCCTGCCTCAGCCTCCTGAGTGCTAGAATTACAGATGTGCACCACCACACCTCGCTTAATTTTTGTGTTTTAAGGCTACAAATTCCCCTTCAGATGCTAATTTAGACATCTATGAATCATGTGACCTTGCTAAATGCATTTATTAATACTGACTTTTTTTATTTTAAAAATTGTTCTCAAATAAACAAGTTTTGCTTCTTTATTCCCAATCTGTATGTCTTTTTTCCCCCTTACTGCAGTGATGAGACTTAGTGTAATTTGTTGTTGTTATTGTTTTTGGTGCCAGGAATCGATCTTGGAACCTTGCGCTTGTGAGGTAGCTGGCAGAACCACTGAGCTAAATCCTCAGCCCCCCTTTTAATTAAGAGTAGGAAATTTTATTGGGGACTAGGGATAGCTCCTGGGAGGAGCGGTTCCAAACAGGTTACCCAGTGTAATATTGATAGAAATAGTGGAACCTGTATCTGTGCCTTTTCCCTGATCTCAAAACACACTCAGTTTTGCCAGGTGTGGTGGCTCGTGACCATAAATCCCAGCACTCAGGAAGCTGAGGCAGAATGATTTCCTGTTTGAGGGAAGTCCAGACTATATATGAAGCCCTGTCTCAAAAAATAACAGCATCAAAAACAAAAATTCAGCTTTTAGCCAGGCACTGTGGTGGAGAGTGTATAATTAGCTACTTGGGAGGCCGAGGAGGGATTGTGAGTTCATGGTCGGCCTGGATGATACCGCAAGACCCATCTCAAAAAAAATTATTTTCAGTTTCTCCTCAATAAGGCTGACATCAGATGTTTCATAGATGCTTTCCCTTTTGTTGCTGGGGACTGAACCCAGCCTCGTGCATGTAGACACGTTAACCACTGGCTGCACTCCGCCCTCAGAGGTACCTTTTATAGAATAGAGTTTTTTGTTTTTGTTTGTTTTTTGGTACCAAGGATCGAACTCGGGCCCTTGTGCTTGCGAGGCAGGCAGTGGACCCCACTGAGCCAAATCCCCGGCCCTTAGAATAGAGTTTTTGTTTCATGAGTGGGAAGTGAATTTTGTCACAGTTCCAGTCATTTCCCAATCCTGATAAAAAATGTTTTTTTCTCAGGCCTGGGGATTTGACTCAGTGGTCCTGCCACCTGCCTTGAAAGCACAAGGGCCCCCCACCAGAATGTTTTTCTTTTACTCTATTGGTATGGTGAATTTCTTGCATTTGTTTTTAGTTGTTAAGTCAGTCGTAGGCTCCTGGAATAAACCCCCATTGGTTACCCTGTTTGTTTTTATATTACTAGATTCAATTTGCTTTTTTTTTTTAGATGGTCTCACTGCAGTCCAGTCTGGCTTTGAACTCATGATTCTCCTGACTCAGCTTCCCAAGTGGTGGGATTACAGGCAACCCAGCTTAACTCTCAAATGTACTGGTGTATAGTTGTCCACAGCACTCTGTAATACTTTTTTTTTTTTTTTGGTACCAGAGATCAAACTCAGGACCTTAATGTTTGCAAAGCAGCAGAACCACTGAGCTAAATCCCTGAACTTTATATTACTTTTAATATATATTAAATATACCATATATAATTTTAAGTTGAGCACAGTGGCATGTGTCTGTAGTCCTAGCTACTCTGGAGGCTGAGGCAGGAGGCTTGCTTAACTCAGGAGTTCAAGACCAGCCTGGGGTAAAGCAGACCCTGTCTCAAAAAAACAAAAACAAAAGACCTGCACACACACGTGTGTCGGTTCATCTCTCTCATTCTTTTGTCTCTGTGTACATGCCAGACAAGTGCTGTGCCACTGAGCTGCCCATGTCCCCTGTCATTCTTAATTCAGCCAGGTCATTTTTCTCTGCTTTTTCTTGATAATGTAGTCAGATTTATCTGAGAAGTCCTCAAGGAGCCAACTTTGATTACATATGTCTTCTGTATTTGCACACTTGCTGTGCATGCCTTGTCTGACCTTTATTCTCCTTCCCTTCTACTTTGGTTTTTTGAGACAGGGTCTCTCTATATAGTTGAGACTGACCTGGAACTCACCATGTAGCCCAGGCTGGTCTTGAACTCACAGTGATCCTCCTGCCTCAGCCTCCCAAGTGCTGGGATTACAGGTGTGCACCACCATGACTGGCCTTCCCTTCTACTTTGTTCATTTTCTAATTTAAAATGAAATCTTAGACACCAACTTTACTTTATTTTTGTTTTTGTTTTTTTGGTACCGGGGATCGTACTCAGGCCCTTGCACTTGCAAGATGGGCAGCAGAACCACTGAGCTAAATCCCTGGCCCTTAATTTCTTTTTTAAAAAATTGTTCATTCTTGCTGCCCTGGGAATTGATTCCAGAGCCTTTGCATTGGGCTACATCCCCAGCCCACCCTCCATCCTTATTTTTTAAAATCTTGAGACAGAGTACTCCTAAATCGCCCATGCTAGGCCCAAGCTTGCCATCCTCCTGTCTCAGGCCCAGAACCACCATGTCCAGCCGACGTGGACATTTTTCCAAGCCCTCGCACAGGGCAGGCGGGTGCTGCTGCGCACAGGGTGCTGTTTCCTGTCCTGGGTGCACAGGCGCCTGGACCACAGTGTCGCGGGGAAGGTGACAGCCAGGGTGCAGGGTGGGGCAGGGCCAGCAGGGGGCGGGGTGCCTTCCGCGGGATGGCTGATTGGGTGCCATGGGGGAGGCCTGGGCCTCCCGCAGCGGGCCTGGGTCCCCCTTGCCCTGTGAGCTGGCCCGGCAGCACAGTGTCTCACTCCATTGCATTGTCAGGTGCACCCAGACCCTTCGGTTTCTTACGGAGGGCGCTCGGATTGTGCAATGCCTTGTGTGCTTGAAAAATTACAGTGTGTCCAAATGTACTATACAGAAATTAATCGGGGAAAGGAAATTTAAAATTAATCTTTCCAGCCAGGCAAGGTGGCACAAACCTGTCATCTTAGCTACTCCGGAGCCTGAGGTAGGAGGATCTCAAGTTCAGTATCAGCCTGGGCAACTCAGTGTTAAGACCCTGTCTCGAACTAAAAAATAGAAAGGGCCAGGGGTACCGCTCAGTGCAGAGGTTCTGGGCTCAAGCCCCAGTGTCATAGAACAGATAAGAAAAAAGGCATTACCCAGATTTTTTGTTTTTCAATTGAGACAGTCTTTAGTTTTTTGAGACAGGGTCTTGCTTTGTAGTCCAGATTGACCTTGCACTTACTGTGATCCTCCTGCCTCAGCCTTCCAGGTGCTGGGATTCCAGGTGTGCGGCCCATGCCCAGGCTCAGACATGGTTCCTGGGGCGCTGTGATCCCCTCGGAGGATCTGGCTTCCATCTGGTGTTGCTTCCCTTCAAGCCAGAGAAGCTCTAGGGTTTCTTGGCGCACAGGCCTGGTGGCCATGTTGGGCTCCACAGCGGTACCCGAGGAAGACCTTCCAGCAGGATTCTCTCCCTATGGCCCAGCGCCTCTTCCTCCCAGAGCCATGCCAGTGGGGCTCCCTCTTCCCAAAGCAGGGTGTAGGGACAGAAGCCCTCCCCGTGAAGCCCCAAACACCACACACACTGTTCCAGAATCACTGGCCATGAAGCACGAAGACCTCCTTCCGGGGTCCTGCTGCTGTCTCTGTGGCCCCTGCCCCACCGGTGAGAAGTACAGCCCGCTAGATGTCAGCCATAAGTGCGTGTCCCCCGAGATCGCAGAATGAATTCCAAGGACAAGAGGTGGAGAGCGGGAAAGGTTTAGTTCCTGAGAACAGGAGGGGTCCTGGAAGTGGGTGGCCAGCGAGGCCCTTTGTCAGGGGTAATTTATACAGCGGAGTCACACCGGGTACAAGGGGAGTCAGACTGCCACTGAGCGTTACACGTACAGCTGCTTATTTAACACTGACTACAGTGGGCTGAGCCTGAAGATGGCTCTTCGCCTCCTCCCTTCTCCTCCACAGAATGTCTGTTTTGTACACCCTGGATGGCAAAGCCCCAGGACAGTCACACTGTGCATCCTTCTTCCTTGTCCCCCTTTTTTGTGGTACCAGGGATCGAACTCAGGACCTTGCGCTTGTGAGGCAGGTGGTGGAACCACTGAGCCAAATCCCCGGCCCTTCCTTGTCCCCTTTCTGTGCATGGCCCGACCACGAGAGTCACACTCTGCTCAGCGCACTATGTTCACCTAGGCCACACAGCACAAGTTACCCTCTTCCTGTTTGTCTTCCACTTTGAAGAAAGCGCACTGAACTCCAGGTAGCTATTTGCTCCCAGGCTACGGCTCCACCTGGTCCCCGCTTTCAAATGTAATATTTGTGTTTTCATTTTTCTTCATCTTCCATTGCTCTCCCCGGCTTCAGAGCCTATGCCGTGAGGGTCTCAGGACTGACCCATGAGGGAAGCACAGCACTAGCAGGGGCACCCTGGCTGTCTGACTTCTAAAGAGGGAAGTGTTGGGGAAAGGGGCGCCTAGGTGTTCTGGCCGCTGCCTTGGCATCTGGTGTATATCCGGACTGAATGGACTAGGTGGTACCAGTTACAGTAGAAGCTCAAATTTCCAATCATCAAAAAGGGAGCCGGAGATCTAGCTCAGTGGTACTGCACCCGCCTGGCAAGCTCAAGGTCATGAATTTAATCCCTGGTAATGGAAAGACTTTTTTCCCATTCATTCTTTAGGGAAGTGTACAAGTGTGGCCATGGTGACTTTGATCCTGAGGCCTGGCCTTTTCCCATGCGCCTCCAGCCACGATTCTCACGGCCTACTTTCACTGACTTGAGAGCCCAGTTCCTCTCAGACACTACATTAATCTTTATCTAACTTAGCTGCCCGCACGCAGTACCACTGCTTCCAGTCCCGTCATGCCCTCCTGCACAGCCACCCGTCTCACCACAGAGCAGAGCGCTAGGCAGCTCACCAGGCCCAGGGCTTCAGCCTGAGGCCTCCTGCGTCCCATGGAGCTGCGGCCACAGACATCTGTTCCACTTCCCCACTAGGGTGTTTGCCAGGCAGGAAGGAAACCAACCTGTCTTTAACCCTGTACCAGGAATACTTTGTGTTCTCCTACCCCCTCACTGAGGACTGAACCCACAACCTTCACACTGAGCCACAGCTCCAGCCCTGGTTTATTATTTCGAGATAGAGGTTTGCCAAGTCATTAGGTTGCCCAGACTGGGCATAAACTTGAGACCCTCCTGCCTTAGCCTCCCAGGCTGCTGGGAGGACACATGTCTGCACTACATCCAGCTTTCAACATCCTTCTTGAAGTATTTTTGGCTACTAGAAGTCTCGCTGACCTTCTTCATTCAGTATTTAACAATGTTTTATGCTAGGCTCTGGCCTGAAAGTTCAGCACAGCCAGCTACTGGCTCTTCCTGTCTGCAGCTGCTGTCTCGCTCCTGGCAGGGGCAGAGCCCAAACCAATGGGTTTGCGTTTCACCTTTAGTGTCTAGCACTTTGCCTGCTGAGCCCGGCCCCAAGGCCTCACTGGTGTTCCAGGTGGGTTTAGTAAAGAGCTCCAGTCTTGCCTGAAATAAGTGATTTTTGAAAAACAGAAAGCGTAGAAATTATTGGCAGAAACTAGTGGCACACACTTGTAATCCCAGTACTCGGGAGGCTGAGGCAGCAGGATCGCCAGCCTGGGCTAAATAGTGAGTTCAAGGCAAGCCTGAACTACATAGTAAGGCCCTATCTAAAAAAAAAAAAAAAAATCTCCAGTCTAAAATTGTT